GATCACAAGTAGTAAGTTAACTCAGTGTGATGAGCCAGGGCCTGTCAATCTTCCCCATGGCTGCTCCCTTTCATTGGGCAAGCCCTGGCCTGTCCATAAGTGGAGAAGAATTTCCACTAGTTGAGAGACATGCTTAGATCTGCTCCAAAAAGAGGCTGCAAACTCAGTAGAATAAACCCTTAATGCTTCATCCTCCTCTGGCTCTCCTGCCTGTCCCTGAGCTGCCATGTATTCCCTCCCCTTACCTCCCACAACCCAGAGGTTCTCCCTCCCCTAATATCTCTGGGCTCCAGCTCTCCACATGTCCCTTCCACCACCATGCGTAGGTTCTCATCATTTCTCATCTGAGTCTCCTAGCTAGCCTCCACACCTCTGTATCTGTGGAAGTCAGATCTTCGTGTTGCTCGTGAAACTCTTCTGTTGCTCATAAACTCTCTCTGAGCTCCTTATTCTCTCAAGATAAAGTCCAGACCCTTATTCTGGACCATGGGGCCCTTCACAGCCCCATCTCTCCCTGCTTTCAATTCAATTCAATTCAATTCAACTCAATTCAGTTCAATTCCATAAATAGCCCCAGTGCCTTCCATATGCTGGGCCAAGCTGGAGACATAAAACCAAAGGATCTTAGCTCACAGGAGGGACAAATGAGTAAATATGCAATTGATGCAGCACGATGGATTGAGAAACCCAGAAGACCTTGGAGATTTCATGAGTCAGTGGTGGAACTCCTGTAGGGAGTTAGTGCAGAACCAGGGCTATGGTTAAATCTCTAGCTCCAGGCCCAGGGATCTTTCCACAGCTCAATGCAGTCTGGCTAAAAAGATTCTGCTTTGCCCAAGGGAATGGAAAAAAAAAAAAGACAAAACAAAAAAAAAAGGACACAAGAGGATCCATGCTTAAAATACAAATTAAGTATTAAAATGCAAAACCCATAGAAGTTACTATAGGGATACTAAATCACAGTGAAACAAGATCATTTAAACACTGCATTTATAAGATGGAAACACTGGGAGTTGGATCACACTCAAGCAGAACCCCAATGAAAATCCATGAGTCACCTACTTTGGTCAAGTAACAGAACTAAGATAACAACTTAACTTGCAGGCGTTTGGGCACCTCCACCATTTGGGCACCGGCAAAATGAGCACCCATGCCTTTGTATTCTGATAGCTAAGAAAAATTGGGAGAAAATTACTTTAAAAATATCAAGAATAAAATGTACACGCTAAAGGCTTGAATTTACTTCAAAGAACCAAGAAACTAAATTTGAGAAGACATTAGTGAATTCTAAGAGAATTCCGAAAAGGAGATTGGGAAGGTGTCCTCTCAAAGGGAAGGCAGAGAACGACAGAGGAAAAGGAGATCCTAAGAGATTATCCAGCTGTGTTCTCTGCCCTCAGGGGACAGCAGGCTTTTAGTCCAAGAGAGGTCGTTGACGTTTGTAGAACCCCGTGTTTTAAAGTGCAGGCTTTGCGTCAGACAAGAAAGCAATTTAGTGAGTCATGACGTCAATTTCTTTTTAAACGAAAGAGAATGGAATCTAATAGAAAACACCAGGTTGCATCTCATGCGGCAAGAGTAAGCACTGAGCTTGGGGTGTAACTGTGTGTGCACATGAGATTATTCATTCCTGAGACAACATACCATTTCATATGATGAGTGGAGTCTGGAACGTTTGACAAACACTCTTCTAGAAAACTTTTTTATAAAGCGTTCTATTTTTAACACTTATTAAACACATTCAGTTATGAATACAGACTCTTTTCCTCGTTCTTGTGCTAAAATTAAACAGAGAATATTAAAATTGGGAGGAAGAAACAAATTAGCAGAATGTAATGAGGGAACTGATAACAAGACAGTAGAGACAACCGAATGAGACCGACGAGCTCTGTCCTTTATCCTAAAGGCTCCCACTTCATGATAACTAAACATTCTCTGGCTATTTTTTTCCCCACATTGGAGCACTCGATACAGTACCGGCTCAAAAATCACTTGTCCCATGACCCCGGGGAAGCGGTAACACTTAATGAAGCAGTGTGAATGTTGCCTTTTGCATAATGTCAGTCTCCTGCACTTTTTTTTTTTTAGGGATAAAAATCACTTCATAGGGTTACCATAGCTCCTAGAAGGCGGGGAGGCTTATGTGTGGTCCACTGATAATCTCAATTCTATGATGGTGCCTGGTAAATAGAAGGTGTTCAAGAAATTTTGTTGGACTGAACTGATAAGCATCAAAAGCCAGTAGAGATCTAGTTCTAACAACCATTTGTCACCTGAACCCCCTTGGCAAGAACAACTGATTTCAGTAAACTGAGCAAAAGATATTCTATTTAGGAAAATAATAACAACAACAAAAATTCTAAGTGTAAGTTTCCAGGGGGCAAATAGCTAAGAATCTGATGCATCTTGGCCGAGAGGTCAAGTTAGTTCAAAGGCCTTGTTTCACGTCCTTTTATAGAGTAAGAGCCTCTTAAAATGTTACAGGCTTTTTAGGATATCAAGCTTGGACCTACTTCTTTCGGACCTAATCTGGCTCCTGGAGACACAACAAAAATGTCTTTTCTAGTGGGGACAGCTTGAGGGCAATAACCACTCCGAATCTGAGGCTGCTGAGTTATTCCGGCCATCGCTAACTGGAGCCGGCAGGATGCCCAGGGGGGCCAGAGACAGAGAGCTGGATTTGGAGAAGCAGCCAAGTGACCAAGTAAATCAATAGTGGATCAAGCCCTGGTTGGCTTCCCTACAAGAAGCCCAGGCGGTGGAGAGTGGAGACCCGGCTGGGAAGTGGTCATTTGCCTTCCCCGACCCCTCAGCAGCTCTGTCCTAAATTCATGCCTCATGGTCCAACCCCAACTTCTAACATGCAGCTGTGTAAGGTGCATCATTAAGGACGCCCTGCGTACGCGTATGTGAGAGGGATGGTGTTGGTCACAGGCAGAGAGTCCTTGGAAAGGCATTTGGAGTTATCAGTAAGGGGGATGGGTGGAAGATGCCCCTAACCAAAGGATCAGTTCAAACTCAACTCCAGTTCCAACACAAAGAAGAGCTCACTAGTCACTGGTTACTTTTTCTTAGCCAGGTGAATATCTCAATAGTGATTATCCCCGGACAGTCGTCTTTATCAAGGACACCGATGAGGATTAAAGGTGAAAGATGGCAAGGAACAGAATAACCCTGTCTGCAGAGTTCAGTGGAGAGCAGGAATCCACACAGTCATTTTAGCGAAAAACAGTTTGGGCCTCCACCCCGCACCCAGTCTTTATCCCAGGCTCCCTCTGACCATCTGCCAACGCATGTTGAAGGAATATAAATCATTCCTGGGTTAACCTGAGCAGAATGTAATCAAGAGGGCAAGTTGGCCTGGGGCCAGGGGAGCAACAGGAAGGCTGCAGATCATGCACTCCAAAGTCAAGCGGGAACAAATCTTGGACTTTTATAAACATATATGTGTACACACACACACAAACACACACATACACACACACGAATACTATGCATGCTTAGATACTTGGTTTGAATCTCACTTCTCATTTCCATATGACTTATCCTCTCCCCGTCTCAGTTTCTTAAATCATATGTAAAGGATAAAATATGTCCACAATGTCTAGCAGCGTAATTTAATGGGCCAGCAAACGACATAAGCTATCATTAGGGTGGCAGTATTGCAAAATGGATCAGAGTAGAGGTTTTAGAATCAGAGGGACTCCAGGGTGCTGGCCCCATGGACCTCATCGATTGTGAGGCCTTGGGAAAGTTCCCTAACCTCTCTGAGCTTTCACTGTCTCATCTATAAAATGGAGATAAAAGCACTTCATAGGGTTACCATAAGGCTTAAATGAGAATATGTATGTAAAATGCCTGGCACAGACTAGATGGCCGTAAATGATGGCTATTACTTGATGGTTGGTCCCTTCAGAGAGGTAGACGTGGCCTCCATCAAGAGTTGTTCTGTAGCTACCTCAGGCAATCAGATGAATCTCTCAAAGGCCACTGATGCTCAAAATGCTGAAGTATCAACATGTGCCCCCATGGCCCTGTTCCTCCTCCCACAACCCCCAGGTCATTGTGTGGCACACACAGTGCTTCCTTGTTATCCAAGTGAGAAATCCTGCAATGCTCATCGACTCTTAACTGTCCCCACCTCCCCTCCCACCCCCGGCAAATCTACCATCTGCTGATTCTGCTTCTTAAAGGAGTCAACTCTATCTGCCCATCACAGTGTCAGTTCGGGGCACCATCAACCTGCCCGTGGATAGCATATCTCTAACCTCATCTCCCGGCCCTAGCTGCAAGCTCCCAGTCCCCCTGCAATCACTCCCCAAGCAGCAACTACTGTCATCTTTCTCAAGTTCAAATCTGACTGTGCTCTCTCCTGCTTTAAACCCTTCACTGGCTCCCAGAAATAAAGTCCAAGTCCCTTAACATGGCTCCCAGAGCCTGCCATGATCTATCTGCCCAGCACTTAGCACCCTCCCAGCCCCATCTCTCCTCGTGTCCCTTCTTGTTTTGTTGCTCCAGTCATGCCAAGGGGACACACTTGCAGTTCTACAAATGAATCAGGCTCTCTCTCTGCAGGGATTTCGCATGTGCTTTCCCCTCTGCTGAGGACACCCGCCTGTCCCTTCTCTTCTCCAATCTTTAGGTTTCAACTTAGGTATCGGTCATTTCTTCCAGGAAACCTTCTTGACACTTGAATACTGAGTTAGATACTTCCTCCCCTGTATGCAAGTGTCTACTTATGGCTCATCTTCCCCAGTAGCCTGGGAGCCCCTTGAAGACAAGACCCATTTTTGTCATTGAAATACTCCAAGTGCCTAAGACAGCGACTGGCACAACACAGGCACTCAAATATTTGTTTGCTGGACAGAGGCAAGCGATTGGCCTTGACCTCAGGAGCAATCTCTCTCTCTGGCCGAAGGCAGCAGGGGCACCGAGCTGCCCAGTAGCTAAACCAACCCTGGGCATCAGAGGTGTATGTCGAGCAAGGGCAACACACCTACCTAGGATGGCCACCACCTCATCATCCTGGATCACCTCCAGGGAGCCGGAGACCACAAAGCAGAGGCTGTCAACGCTCTCTCCCGCATGGTAGATAAGGTCCCCCGGGGCGCAGTGCACTGTCTGAAACTCCATGGCCAGAGCCCGCAGGCAGCCATCGCTGGCCAACCGGAAAGCTGGGTGTTCCTTGAACACCTTGCGGTTCAGGTGCACGCAGATGTCGGCTCTCATGTCCTTGGGGCAGATCTGCAGAACCTGGCCGGGCAAGGAAGAAACGGCGTCAGGGTCCTCACTGCGGTCTCCAGCCCATTGCCCCTTGCGACCCCAGGGGTGAAGTAGCCCCACCGGGCTAGACTGTACTCCTCAAGGCACTGGTGGACAGGACAGCCACAGCATCTGTCAATTGTGGAGCTTACACTCTTGTGGGACAGATAAGCAGCGACCACAAAAATCCATGCTAGATGCTCAGAAGGGCCAGGGAGTCGGGGCTAAGAGTACGCGGGACTCTTTAGATTGACAGCTGGGGAAGGCTTATCTGAGGAGGTGACATGTAAGCTGACACCTACCAAATGTGTCAGAGGGAACATATGAAAGAGGACATTCCAGCAGCAAGGCAAATGCTGTGAGGGGACCCAAGCAAGAACCAAAGTGAAAGGGGTCAAGGGGTAGGAGATGAAGTTTCGAGAGAACGCCAAGTACACATGCATGTAGAGACTTTGGGTTTTGAAAAGGTTTTGATTTTATTCTGAGTGTCATGAGGACATACTGGAGGCTTGGGAGCAGGGGAGTGACAAGACCAGACTATATTTTAAGAGGATCACCGCAGCGAGAGAGTGGAGTTAGAGGGCTCTGACTGTAGGGTGCCAAGGATGGAGCCAAGCAATTGAGTTAGGTCACTCCTGCAGGCGTCCCGGTGACGAGTGAGGGGCCCTAACTGGGAGGCTGGCAGGGGAGCCAGTGAGCAGCGGTCGGACTCAGAATGTGTTCTGAAGGTGGAGCTGATGCTGCTCAGGGACTGAATGTGTGTGTGGCTTAAAGAGAGAGATAAAGTAGTATTTAGTGAGCATCTACTCTGTGCCAGGCATTGCTAAGTGCTTTAAAGTCATTCATTCATTTCATACTTATTTATTGAGCACTTATTAGACACCAGGAATCATCCTAGGCTCTGAGAATGTAGCGGTGAACAATACAGACCAAAGTCCTTGCCCTTGTGAAACTTACCATCTCGTGGGGGGAGGAGACAAATAATAGGCAAAAGAAGTGAAACTTAGCAATGATTTTACATTATTAAGTGTTATGTGTGTTTAATAGCTCATCTAATCCTCACACAACACAACTCTATGATGTTAAGTGCTAGTACTGTACCATCCTACAGATAAGGAAACCGAGGCACAGGGAAGACAAATCACTTCCCCAAAGTTGCACAGACACAAAACGGCAGAGCTGGGCTCTCAAACTAGGTAGTCTGAGTCCGGGGCCTGGTTGAGATACTAACCACTTCCTACATTACGTCACTGCCCAAAACAAATGTACCTGTCGTGCCACTCTCAGCATCTAGAAACTCAGGGCAAAGCAGGAACTGTAAGAGGTCATGAGGGGGATCTTGTCTTTTGAGAAAGGAAAATTTCTTAGCCTTTTCTAGGGGGAGAAAGTTCCCTGGACTAAATTTTTACAAGAAACCACTGCATGGTACCTTCCCCAGCAAGCATCAGGTAACACCTTCAGGTGGACTTTTCCAGAGAAATTAGGAGTCTTCTTAAAATAATCCTTTCTCCCATCCTAGCCTAGCAAACAAAGCTGGGGGCCTGATATCAAACATGTTGGGACGTCTGGGTGGCTCAGTGGTTGAGCGTCTGCCTTCAGCTCAGGGTGTGATCCTGGGGTCCTGGGATCGAGTCCCACATCGGGCTCCCTGCACGGAGCCTGCTTCTCCCTCTGCCTGTGTCTCTGCCTCTCTCTCTGTGTCTCTCATGAATAAATAAATAAAATCTTAAAAAAAGAATCAAACATGTTCAGCGAAGACATTGCCTTTGGGTGCCAGTTACTCCTACACCCCTGCTTCTCTGCCTTCACCGCAGGCCATTTGCCTCCACACCTGGAGCTCATCTTGGAAACTGGAAGTTTCTCAGACTCCTTCAAAACTCTCACCTTGCCCGTGGCAGTTTTGCTCATACCCCACCCTCTCAAGAGCCCCCATGCTCTGCATGGACAGAGGAGGCAGTGGACAGAGGTGGTCCAGTAGTTAAAATCCATATTGGCTTATGGGGATTAAATGAAATGACGTCTCCCAGCACATGGCCCCAAGGACAGCGCAGGACCCAGGAACAGACTCTATACACGCTGGTCCCCATGCTCTGTGCACCTCTTCCTTCTCATTCCGGCATGGCAGGACGCTGAGGAAGTAAGCAGGACCCCCAGAAGAGGGGAGCGGAGCATTGGCGAGGCAGAGGACAATTCAGACTGCCAAGGCTTAGATGGAGCCCTTGCTAAGTATTTCCCTCCTTACGGCTCATTAAAAACATGACTCCTGCAGAAATGCAGATTTAATTTGGATCCTCTTCTCCCCAAGCAGAACAACCAGGGAGTGGACGACACTCACATGTCATGTCAAACCTGTGCCCGGCAGTTCAAAACCAAGATTTATTCTCCAGGTAAGTTCACCTTTAAATATTTGCTTTCCCCTGGGCTGAGCTTTGCTGGCAGAGGCTGCTAGTGAACGAGGCCTTGGCACGGAGACAATGTTTTATTCCTGGGCACTGTTTCCAAATCCACTGGAAAGCATGGGGGAGGAGGAGAGGGAATCTAGGGGTAGAGAAATCCGGACTGCCATGGCCCTCGGGCACCTCCGTCATTCTTCTGTTGGTTCCATACTGGGCGGGTGAGGGGGTCCTGACTACTTCCCTGGGAGCTGAATGCTTCTCAGCTGAAGACCCCTTCCTGGGCACCTTCCCTTCTCTTTGGACCTGAGGAGAGACCCTCCCTGCTGCTTCCTGAAGGGCCCCAAGGCCACTGGGAAATGTCACCATGAAGGCTCATGGAACCTCCCCAGGCTGGACAGGATGGAACATGGTTGAGAGAATGGGCTTTAAGACCAAGCAGACTTGGATTCAAGTCCTGACATTAACACTTACTATTCATGTGAACTTGAAGCCATACTTAGCCTCTTTTCCCAAGTCTTCAGTTTTGAACATTGAGTATAGACTTCTTCGGGGGTTCCATGAGCTGGTGTGTGCAAAGTCCTGGCACACACATGTGCTCAGTGCATGCGGCCTCTCCTTTCTGAGGTTGTTGGCACAGCAGAGCAGTGGCTCAGGTTGAGGGAAGTCCAGGTCATAGGTGAAGGGGCCTTAGAGGTAGGCCTTAATATTAAAAGGCATCTAGTTTCCATGTATTACAGACATAGAAACTGAGGCTCAGAGGGACAGGTGACATGCTCATGGTCACCCTCCCTCCTCCCCCACATACCCCTAGGCTCCCATAGTCATCACTGACGACTTTGATCCAACATAGAGGGTAGGGGAACCAGGGAGAGGAATGGGGCCACGCACCAGGGGCAGGGGCTAGGAGAGGAGCCACCCAGGCCAGGCTGGGCTCTGCAGTGAGTTACCACAGTATTCCCTCTGCCACCCAAGCCAGGACCTGGGGCACACCCCCAAAGCCTCCCAGGAAAGTGAGACAGCAGGGAGGGGCAGAGAGGGCAAACGCTGACGGTGCTGTCTCTCATGGGCAGCCGCCCAGCCCAGCCCTGCACTGGGGTGGGGAATGGCTTCTTTCCAGACAACCAGATTCACAAAGCCATCCTGGCCCCTCAGAAAAGGAGCCCCAGGGCTGAGAGATCAAAGTTCCTTTCTGCTCCATCAGCTGCCAGGCACCCACAGAACCTACGTGCCTCGCTGAATGAAGCAAAAGCAACAGACGCAGTTAGGGCAGGTGGTTGGCAAAGCCAGGGACTAAGACCCACCCAAATGATACCCTGCCCGAGTGAGAAATGAGGGCAACTCCATCTGGACTCTTCTCCTTCTTCCCTTCAGTACATGTTTTAAAAACAAAACAAAACAAAACAGTAATAGTAGGAAAAGCATAAGCTCCCAAGTCAGACAAAACCAGATTCAAATCCTGACTTTGCCATTCTTAACTATGACCAGAGGCAGTTAACAAATCTTTTTTTTTTTTTTTTTTTTTTGGCAGTTAACAAATCTAATCAGGCCTCTGTGTCCTCAGTTTCTTGGGTAGAAACAACGGTGGCTCCCTCTCAGAGTTGCTGTAGAGCATAGCTAGGACGTGAACGTGGGGCCAGGCACGTGCAGAGTGTAGTAAATATTTGTTTTTAAGCGCGTTCAAGGCATGGTAGCTGGTGCTACAGTGGTGAGCTTATTATATTACTGTTGTGATTATGGCAGATCTTCAACAAAACCGAATTATCATTCCTTTTAAGGTGGAAGCAATTAAATTGAGTTCAAGTTTTCCTTTTAAACTGTCAACTCTCAACTAACTATTCTAATGCAAGGGTAGGAGCAAGTTTAGCTGATCCAAAGTCTGTTGAATTTGGCTTGGAATGTGTTATATTTCTGCAGCAACGTTATCTTTCTGTTTTTCTTATTCCAACAGCGAAAGGAATCAGAATTCCCCAAGTACTTCGAGATTGGCAGTAAAAGGAGAAGTGTGGCTGAAAACACGGAGAAGCAGAGAAAAATGGACCCAGGATTACATGTCTGCTTATAGAAATATACACAGGAGATAATTCCTAAGAGAACAGAAAGTCCACTGTACCTTTTCTCTACTCTTTCCAGCCAACAAATTTTCTTCACTTTATTGAAATGCATTATATGCGACTCTTAAAGAACAATAGGGATTTATTTTTGTTTCCATTTTGCAGATGGGGAAACCAATACCCTTAGCCTTAGAAAGATGTCTAACTGGGGTTTTCCTCAAGCCCAAGATGACTAACACACAAGCCCTCTATCGGTATTGACCAGACTTATCTGATGAATAGGATCACCTGGGCACTTCTTACAAATGCAGATCTCTCCTCCCACCTTCCCCTCCTCTGAACCCAGATTCCATACCTCTGGGATAGAGGTTGGGAATCTCCATGGGAATAAAGACCACAAATCGTGGGATTCTTATCAGAGCTGAGACTACAGTGAGGCAACAGCCTTGGGTTAAAAACTCAGTAATCAAGATAAATTACAGTTTAATATTATATTTTAAAATGTCAAAATTCATGCAAAAAAAAATCCCCAATGAACAAAATATCAAAAATTTGAAGAAAGACGAAATCATTGGCAGTGCTGTGCCATCTCAGAGCCTGAGGCGGAAGGAAAATCAGTCACAATGATAACCTCCTCCTGGATGGCCCTGAGCCTTATCATCGTACAAGTCTAGGAAATTCTGCACGAGACAGCTAGGCTTCCAATGCCTCTCTTCTCTAGGAGACACACACTTTCTTTTGAGTTTCTTAAATAATGGCTCCTGGTCTCTTAATTGTTGGTCCTTGAGCAAAGCTGATCTAGAAGCCATCAAAACCTCTGGAGGTAGGACGTGGGAACCCGAAACTACCCAAATGAATTCTGATGCACAGCCAGGTTTGAGAACCCCTGCCCCAGGAGAGCCTCGGGTCTGAGAAAGCCGACATACAGGGCTCACCTGAGCTTGTCATTCTCCTTACCTTCTCTGTATCGATGCCCCTGGACATGGACCAGGTGGACACGATATAATCCATGACTCGCTCACTCAAGCCCTTTGGCACCTGGTAGAGCTTCAGGAAGTCCCGAACGCTGTTGAGCATCTCATGGTACCGGTTGGTGTTGGCATACATCTGTTGGAAAATGGTCGTCACGTTCCCAAAGATGGTGGCATACAGAAGTGCTGAGGCAGGAAGAGGAAAAAAGACAAGACGTGAGTGGTCCTTCAACTGGGGCCCAAGAATGCCCAACTTGCCCAGAGTAGGCCAACGGCTAGAGCTGCCTTCTCCAGGACAGACTGTCCTGACCTCTTGAGAAGAACCTCACCCAGCAGCCTCTGGGAGTAGACTCCATTAAAGAGTCTCCTGACAGGAGGCCACTAGGACAAACATGTGGTAGGCAGGGCTAGCATAGATGGTTGCTGGCATGACTGGGGATGGAGCTAAGAGGCGGAGAGAGACAGTGGGGGCAGGAGCAGTGAGACTACTCTACACTTCTTGCCACAAAGTTTGAGCCATGCCTGAGGCTACCTGTCAAAGTCAAATGTGTTGTTCTGTATCAACCCAATTCCTAGCCCATCAGCAAGTTATCTTTTTCAAGCCCTGCTAACGTGCCAAGGACTATGCTACCTGCCGAGGACAGGATGGGGAATGAGACATTCAGGCCTGGCTCTCACACAGCAAACAACGGAGTGGAAGGACAAACTCTGAATACCTCATCACAAGTAACTAAATAATAGCAAGGCTGCCAAGAGCGATGAAGGATGTTATTTATAACTTTGCTTCACTTATTGTTAAGGTACATGTAAATACAACAATCTACTCCACTGTGCTGGGGCTCCTAAGAGAAAAGCACGATTGCAATAGGGCAAAAATAAAATCTCCAAGGTCACCTTGGAGATATAACAGGTACATACTTTGTGCTCCTACTGCTTCCCCTACATTAGCATCAGGAAGGAGGACCATTACATCATCACAAAACCCCATGTTCTACCTCTAAGTCCTCTTCGCCCTTGAAGGCTGAGCTCCAGTGCTACCACTTCCAGAAAGTCTCCCCATGAAGCTGACCATGACTCCCAGGCTTGAAATGGTATATAAACCATTTTGCAAGCCATATGCTTCTTACTTTGCTTGTGCCCGTATGAATTGCTTGAAGGCTGGACCCATCTTTTCCTGGCCATGGTATCCCTGGGAGCTAACACTATACCAGTGGCCAATAAATATTTGTCAAGTTATTTTTAATAAATAATACAATAGAATATTACTCAGCTATTAGAAATGACAAATACCCATCATTTGCTTCGACATGGATGCAACTGGAAGGTATTATGCTGAATGAAATAAGTCAATCAGAGAAGGACAAACATTATATGGTCTCATTCATTTGGGGAATATAAATAATAGTGAAAGGGAATAGAGGGGAATGGAGAAGAAATGGGTAGGAAATATCAGAAAGGGAGACAGAACATGGAAGCCTCCTAACTCTGGGAAACGAACTAGGGGTGGTGGAAGGGGAGGAGGGTGGGGGGTGGGGGTGACTGGGTGGCCGGCACTGAGGGGGGCACTTGATGGGATGAGCACTGGGTGTTATTCTGTATGTTGGCAAATTGAACACCAATAAAAAATAAATTTATTATTAAAAAATAAAATAAATAAAACGCATATTATATGTGAAGTTCACACATGTTTTTGCTTCAGTTTTTTAACTGTGTTATTGTTGATATGTAATAAACTGCACACTTAAAATATACAATCTGATAAGCTTTGAAATATGTATACACTCACAAAACCATCCCAATCAAGTCAGTGAACACTTCTACCACTTTCCAAAAAGTTTCGTCATGTCCCTTTATAGTCTTTCCTGTTTCCAAGTGATTGCTAATATTTTCTGTCACCATAGATTGGCTTGCATTTTCAAGAATGTTCTATAAATGTAATCATACAGTATATACTCTTTTTTAAACATTTTACTTAGATATAATTCACACGCCATGAAATATATCCACATATAGTATCCAATCCAATGGCTTCTGTTATATTTTCCAGAGTCGAGCAGCCATCACTACGACTAGGGTTAGAATATTTCCATACTCCTCCCAACTACCCCTTAACCACTAGCATTCCCCACCCTACCCCCACACCCCTAGCCCTCGGCAACCAGTAATCTGCTTTCTATCTCTATAGATTTGCCTACTCTGGACATATAAATTAAATCATACAATACATAAACTTCAACAGCTGGCTCTTCTCTGTAACACAATGTTTTCAAGGTTCATCCATGCTGCAGCACATTTTGGTACTTCATTCCTCTTTATTGTTGAAGAAATATTCAACAATATTGACAATCCACATTTCATTTATCCCTTCAGCCATTCATGGGCATTTGGGTTATTTGCTTCTTGGCTATTATGAGTAACGCTGTTAGGAACACTCAAGAACAAGTTTTTGCATGAACATGTTTTCAGTTCTCTTGGGCAGATAACTAGGAGTGGAATTTCTGGGTCATCCAGTAACTACGGTGAACAATTTGAGGAACTGGAGCAGATGGAGCGTGTTCCATTCCCATCAACAGTGTATGAGAGCTCCAAATGTCTCCAACACCCTGTCAACACTTGTTATCATCTGTCTTTTTGATTACTGCTGTCCTAGTGAGTGAGAACTGCTATCTTATCCTAGTTTGAATGTGCATTTCTCTGATGGCTAGTGACATTGAGCATCTTTTCATGTGCTTATTGGTCATTCTTCTCTATTCTTTGGAGAAATGTCCATTTAAATCTTGCCTATTTCTCAGTTGGGTTTGTCTTTTATTGAGTTGTAAGTGTTCTTTATATATTCTGGATACAAACCCTCTATCAGATATATGATTTGCAAATACTTTCTCATGCCATGTGGATTGTCTTCTCACTTTCTTTTCCTTTTCTTTCTTTCTTTTTTTTTTTTGTCTTTTCACTTTCTTGATGGAATTGTTTACATGTAAACATTTTTGGTTTTGAGGTAGCCCAATTCATCTATATTTTTCTTTTGTACTTTGTTTTGACTGGCTTCTTTTTTTTCAGTTTATAATACAATGATTTTAATCATCTTGAGTGTTATAAAGAATGGATATACATGGACAAGAATGCACCAGGACACATGTGCAAATATTGACTAGTTTCTTATACTCAGCATAATTATTTTGAGAGTCATCCATGTTGGTGCATTATGAATAGTTCATTCCCCTTTTTTTTTTAAGAAAAAACCTTTCATTCTGAAATAATTATAAATTAACAAAATCTGTAAAAATATTATAGATACTGTATACCCCTTGCCCTATTTCCCCACTGGTTACATCTTATACAATTAGAACATAATGTCAAGGGATCCCTGGGTGGCGCAGCGGTTTGGCGCCTGCCTTTGGCCCAGGGCGCGATCCTGGAGACCCAGGATCGAATCCCACATCGGGCTCCCGGTGCATGGAGCCTGTTTCTCCCTCTGCCTATGTCTCTGCCTCTCTGTGTGTGTGTGTGTGTGTGACTATCATAAATAAAAATTAAAAAAAGAACATAATGTCAAAACCAGAAGATTTACAACATCTACAAGTATGTATATAACTCTGTGTCGTTTTATCACACATGTAGTTTCATGAAATCAGCTTCACACTCATAAGATAAAACTGTCTCATCACTGCAGAAATCTCTCTTTATATGCACATTCCCCCAGGGAACCACTAATTTCTTCTCCTTTTCTTATAATTATGCCATTTCAAAAACATTATATAAATGGTATCATGCAGTATGTGACCTTTTGAGATTGGCCTTTTACACTTAGCAAAATGCCCTTGAGATGCATCCATGTTGTTGCATGTATCAATGGTTCATTCCATTTTATTGACGAATACTGTCCCATTATATGGAGAGGCCACAATAATTCTCTCAAATGATCTTACTCAGGCTTAGCTGAAGACTAAGAGAGGGAAAAATAAGAGAGAAAGACATGGATCTAGATGTAAGGAAAGGAAATCTTTTTCCTTTTTTTTGTATATTTTTTTTAATGGAGTTCGATTTGCCAACATAGAGCATAACACCCAGTGCTCATCCCGTCAAGTGCCCCCCTCAGTGCCCATCACCCAGTTACCCCATCCCCCGCCCACCTCCCTTTCCACTACCCCTTATTCATTTCCCACTGTTAGGAGTCTCTCATGTTCGGTCTCCCTCTCTGATATTTCCCCCTCATTTTCTCTCCTTTCCCCTAAGGAAAGGAAATCTTCAGTAGTCTGTCCACCAGGGCTGGATATGGCTGCCCAAGTCACTGAGCCCAAAATTCCACCTGAGAAGAATTAGAAATGAGGACTGGAAAGAGTGCTGCCAACTCTAGAAAGGTACCACGGAGTGGTATCAATCTGAACAAAAGAAACCAGATAAAAGCAAAAGTAGCCAAAGCCTGAATAATGCAGACACAGCCCTTACCAGCTCATAAATAACCTCATACACAAAGAGGTCCAATCTCCTGCTTCCTGCCTCCTACATCACCAAGTGTACTCGGGACCAGCCTCCCAGGGCCTGGGCTGGCTCCCTTGTTCCCAGTGAGTCTGACTCTAACTCAATAAGCCTGTAGGGCAGGCTTGGCTCAGCTCTGTTTCCTGGGCCATAATGAACCAGAGGTCATGCATGAAGAGTAAGAGGTGCCTTTCTCGGATGGCTGCCAGAAAATTAATTTAATTTTGAGCTTAAAAATATAGTTACACCAAATCAATACAGTAAGAATAGCTCTCTTGTCCATGATTTGAGAACTAGGTGCAGATCTGAAGCACTGGTGTGCTGGTCAGACAATTAAGGCGACGATGCCACATCTATCATTTACAGCCCAGGGCTGCTCTCATGCCAGTCTGCTTCTGAGACATTCTAGAAGGTTAAAAGTCCTCACAAGGGCTTTATTTAATTACTATTACTATTAGAAACATTATTACTATTAAAAATGGGTAATTCTCTCAATGCTCTTTCTCTAATTTTATATGAAGTGAGATTATACATTTTTCATGCATACATTTTATCTATTGATATCTCTATATAAAGCATTATGCCTTACATACTCACAACCTAACTGGGAGAGATTGCACATAAGTCCAGCTGCCACTTGCACAGATATTTGAGTGTGACATGGGGAGGAAGAGAGGGAGATTGGTATGTTATCTGCATAAGAACCTCAC